TGTGTGTCTGTGTGTGTGTGTGTGTGTGTGTCTGTCTGTGTGTGTGTCTGTCTGTGTGTGTGTGTCTGTGTGTCTGTGTGTCTGTCTGTCTGTGTGTCTGTGTGTGTGTCTGTGTGTCTGTCTGTCTGTGTGTGTGTGTCTGTCTGTGTGTGTGTCTGTGTGTCTGTCTGTCTGTCTGTCTGTGTGTCTGTGTGTCTGTGTGTCTGTCTGTCTGTGTGTCTGTGTGTCTGTGTGTCTGTCTGTCTGTGTGTCTGTGTGTCTGTGTGTCTGTCTGTGTGTCTGTCTGTGTGTGTGTGTCTGTGTGTCTGTCTGTGTGTCTGTCTGTCTGTCTGTCTGTCTGTCTGTCTGTCGACCTTACACTTCCTCACTATTTGAAATTCACTTCTTGACCTTGTTGAGTACGACTGAGACTCTTCTTCGTACTTCTCTTCTTACAGGAAGGCCCTGTGGTCGGCCAGACTCCGACGTTCTGTTGAGATCATGGAGAAGACATTATCAACAGGATTAATACAGACGGCAATAGAGAACTGCGAGAATGAGACTGTTGTGCAATGGCTGAGAGCAAACTCAGATTCGGAGGCCTTCTCCAAACTGCTGGACTTGTTTTATTTCCTGAAAAGACACATCGATGAGGAAGAGAAGAAGAACCACAGTAACAGTGTTGACATCACCTTTGTGGCTCATGGAGCGATCAGAGACTCCATGATCCCAGCCAGCTGCCACCTGCCTCTGTCCTCCGTCACAGACGTGGTGCTGTATTCCCCCTGGAACTGCACCATGGATGCTAATGTAGCGTACAGTGTTGCTACAGGACGCATAAAGCCGCAGCACCGAGTCTTTACCTGTAACACAAAAGACGGCTGTCAGATTCCCAAGGAGAAGCATCAGCCCATGAATCTGCCCGATCACTGGAACTCCCTGAAGAAGGCTGGAGACCAAATGATCCCCAACATCACGCTCAGTCCTCTCACACCACAGGATGGTTTCTGGGAAGGTTTCCAGTCTCTCTCAAAGAAATATGGTGAACCGGAGAGAAACCGCATCGTCATCCCGTACGTCCTCCCAGCAGGAAGTGTCTCGTTCTCTGTCGTCACTCTGGCCCTGTCGCTGGTGCTCTTCTTCTCCAGGTTTCAAGCCACCGTCCATCTCATCGCCTGTCTGGGTGATCAGTCTGCTGGGAGGAAGTTTGACCGGGACTATCTGAGGACACAGTACGCCTGCACTGTCGACAACACAATAATGACCTCATCACCAGACATCACTGAACGATGGATAGATGTGTTTAAACGACTGTTTGGTTAGACTTCCTCCATGTTTGTGAAAGACTCTGTTCATGTACCTTCTACATGTTGTTTGACACTTGAACAGTTTCCTGTAGACCCCATTCTGCTGCACCGCCCTTAAACCTGTCTATAATCCACAGAGTCTCCATCAGACGGCGCTCCAATCACTGACGGTCGATCTACAGAGTCATGTCAGAAATAAGACCTGATGTTTGATGAAGCAGCTGAACTAACAGAATCCTTCTGGCAGAGCGAGCGTCACCTGGTCTGGACTCCAGAGTCAGGAGTAATAACAACAGGAGCAGGCGTTGGATACAAGACAGAAGCTGCTATCAAGGTCACGACTGTGAAACAGAAGATCTATACAATCAGCACAGTTTCAAGATTAGACCTTCATTATTTTTTCCTGTTAGACATTTGTGTCAAGTTTGGTCAGAACTAGTGTCTGAATTCTTCAGTTATGTGAGGTCACACTGACCTTTGACCTGCGACCACTAAATGCTGATCAATCAAAATTTTCTGTCCAAGTTTGTGTCGAATTTGAAGAAACGTCCTTGAAGTGTTCTTGAGATGTCGTGTTCACAAGGACAGGACGGATGTACGGACGGACAGACGGACAACCTGGACACAAAACGCCTCTGGAGCCATAAAACTTGGATTCATCCGACAGCATCAGCGATGAACTGGTTTTGTTCTGAATACAAAATATAATAATTGAAAATTTTATGTTTTATAATTAAATACAGATCTACACAGGTGCAGTCTGAATGAGCTGACGTCTCATCAGGATACTGTGGGAGGTGACTGTCAACAAATATCCCAGCATGCCTTTCACATCGACCGCAGACAGCGGCAGAGACTTTGGGACCACAAGTGTTATCACTTCTGTTCAGTCTGTTCCTGAGTCTCTCAGTAAAGTTCAGGGTTTTTTAGATTTCAAGTTTGTGATCGATTTATCCAAATAATGTTTGTTATGTGTCAGAACACTGTGGACAGTGATCAGCTGTTATTACACAGTTAATATCTACCGTCCCTCAGACTGACAACATGGTTCATATTCAGTCTGATGCACATAATGCTAAATGTAAAATATGTGAAATAAATTTGGAAATCAATAAACTTGTAAAAAAGATCTGCGACTCTCACAGAGACTTTACCTGTTTTATAAACTGTTAAAGGTCCAGTTTGAAGAACTGAAACTTGTCCCATGTGCAGAGCGTGTAGGTCAGGAGTCAGGTTTACTATCAATCTGTGTGCAGCCACAAAACATATTTGCATTCACTCGTGTGTTTTACAGCGAAGCAGCTCCTCTGCAGTGAGCTGCTGATGATTCGTGGTGCTGAAACTTTGCAGCGATGGTGGTGACAGCAAACAAATCTATGAAGATCTTTATTTTCTGTTTTGGATTTGGGATCAATGGCCTCACTGAGGAGACTCAGGACGAGCCATCACTATTGAGATTCGGCAGATTTTATGAAAAGGCGCCAGACCGCAGACGTACGACACACACAGCTGAGGAGGTGTTAAAACACTCTCTTAATACAGTGTGTAGGCTACACATTCATACAGCTGGAAAATGTGAGAATCACTTCAGGGCTATGACAATAATTAATAAAAATTAAAACGAAAAATAACTTTTAAGTATTTCCATTTAATTTTATTGTCAAAGCCGCAGAGAGACACAGGAGAGGAGCTAAAGAGTCGCAGGTCGTCTACACTTGGTGTACGAGAACCACGGTGAATGAATGTCTCTATCTAGAGTCAGTGTTTGGTTTGTCCATTCTGGGCTACTGTAGAAACATGGCGGTGCAACATGGTGATCTCTGTAGACAAGGACCTGCTCCCTGTGTAGATATAAACAGCTCATTCTGAGGGAACCAGAACACAAACATCAGATCAGATTTAATCTGACACTCTGGAGCTTTGAAAACACTTTAATCTGTTTTAATGAAGGTGAAAGTTCACAGCTGGATCAGGACGTTAAAGTGACGTCAGACAGACGTTGGACTCTCACATCGGACAGATGTTAAATTGTGGTTGGAAGGAAATCAGGTTGACGACATTTCAAATGTCTGATGACGTTAGAATGTTCACGTTGTGTGGACGTTAACATTCTGAGGTTCTGACGTTGGGTTTTGTTTTTCATATGTCACCAGTTAATTTGTCAGCTGATTTACAGGCGTCTCTTTAACCTCTCTAACTCCGCCAGGACGCCGACGTCCTCGCTCCCCCCCTCCTCTGTTAAATGGTATCTCCCAGGCGCACTATGTCATCAAACCATGTGATGTTTGGTATTGCCGGATTCAGGAAGCTCTTGACTTTTCAAAAATAACATTGTTTTTCTTTTATTTATTATGTATTTCACACCAGAGCAGCCTAAATACACAAAGTCCAAAATCACTATGAGTGGTGACAAGTCATGTCATGCCGTTTTTCGACGGGAAAAGTTAAAGGATTACTCGAGATCTTATGTGGAGCTGTTAGCGGGGACTTAGCTGGTTTATAAAAGGTAAGAGTCTCACTCCTACCACTATTTGTGGCTGAGATATACCGTCTAGAAAGTGGGAATATAACTTCATATGGCTTTATTTGGTGATATTTTATGGTGTTTCTGTGTCATAAACAACATCAGCTATCATAATCACACCTGATTTCAATAAGGTACAATGTTTGAAGCTGGCTGAGTGTTGTTTGATCACTGATAGGACTGTTTTGAAGCAGAGTGACCCACTTGTCATTTGGAGCTCCGCCTGGATCTTTTCATGGTAAAAACACTGTAGAATGGTCATACTTTGAGCAGTCTTCTTCAAATCTGAAACAAGTGTTCATTGATAGTGTGCCTACAGCCCCACAGTGTCATTTACCTGCTCAGATGAAGCCACAGACAGTTATTCATCCTGAAAAACATTTTTTATTTTATTTTAGGCAAAATCTTCAACATTTTACTGACTTCAGAGGCCCATTACTCTGTCTCTGTATCACCTAGAGTGTTTCTGAAACTTTCACAAGAAACTTCAGGGAGTTTTCTTTCTGGTAAGACCTCATGCATGCATGTAGTCAGAGCGGTTCAGAAGCTACAGTCATTTTAATTTGGGTATGTCATTTTAGGTGTTTCTGCTACAAAATGGGGGTGGAGTACAAGAGGTTTTAACAATGTGAGTCTAAGTGGGAAAAGTGTTTTTGGGCCTCATCATGTGATCGACTCAGCAGGTGCAGTTCAGCTGTTTATTGAGTTTAGCGTGAGGAGGGTGTATGTTGTATGGATGGTGAGGGTGAGATATGTGTTTCACTTATGCACCTTAATGGAGTAGCCGTTCAATTTTGCTGTATTTCAAATGCAATGGCAATAAAGGCATTCATTCATTCATTCATTCATTCATTCATTCACAATATTGATTCATATCATTTTCTTTGTTGATACAATCTGTTCTGTTTCTGCTAAGTGAGCTGTTTCTGGGAAATGGTTCACAGTAGTTTCACTTTCACTCTGGACATCAGCTGATTCTGACTGGGCCAATAAAGCAGAGAGCAGCAGACTGATGCAGCCTCTTCCTCCTCCTCTTCCTCACAGCAGCACATATAACAGCCTGAACACTGAGGCTCAGAGAGAAACTCTTCTGCACAAGATCAACTGTGACTGACGCTCGGAGCAGGTAAGATGTTCTCTCTGACTCAGTCTGCTCGTTCATCACTTGCGCACACACATTGATGACATCACATCCTTTACAGTCTCAGTAACTCCTGAGCCAACAGCCCGTCACTGCACACACACCATGTTCACTACTTTAACTTCAGTTTCTCCTGTCACATGCATCACTCACACACGCACACACACACACACACACACACACCTACAGTGTAGACATAGTTTCCAGTTATCATCTGTAATAATCCTTTAATATTAATCTCTTCAGTTTCTATTGATGCTGTAGCTCTGTTGTTTGCTCTTTCTTTATGTGTTTGTTTCTTCATCAGTTTCTTGTTGGGCTCAAATCTGAGTCCAGCTCTGAATCTGTTTATTGATTCTGTTTAGTTTGTTTGTTTGTTTGTTTGTTTGGTGGAATTAAGATATTTCTTAGTTTTTGTTTCCCTCAGTATGAAACCTGAAGCACAGAGATTGTGTGGAGCTGAAAGGGCGTTGGCTTTTGTCATGTTTAGTCTCTGCGATGCTCTTTAACCCCATCCTGACTCAGCTAGCTGTGATACATTAAACACTGAGCACTATGCAGTCAGATGTCTCTCAGTGTTAATGAACGCGCACACAAGGATTCATAAATGTCACTTTTATCAGATAACGTTCATTAAAAATGAGAAATATTTATGTGAGCATCAGAAATTCAGTTGTTTTTAATATTGACTTGTTTTACATCTGCAGTCAATGATGAATGTGTGTGTGTGCGTTAAAGAAACTATTTCACAGAGTGAATAACCTAAATCTGAAAAATATATGTCTGTATCCATCTGTGTGTGTTTAGTAATGTTGAGACCATCACAGGCCAAAAAAACTCTGCTGCTCATTAAGTTTAATTGTTTTACGTGCAGGAACAACTGAGACATGTGGGGGGGGGGGGGGGGGGGGGGGG